TCATATATCATGAAGTTTGCATGCACTAAACGAGCATGCAAAATATTGTTTTTTTTTGCCCATGATGGCCTCTTTGAATTTTTAGTTATACCATTTCAATCTCTCATTAATCTAATTTTTTGCTCCTATCTACATAAATTTGTGATTATCTTTTTTGACAACATAATGGTGTACATCCCTTCTCAAGCTTCTCATCACTATCAAGGCAATGTGCATTAACGTGGACATATTGTCCAATCTAACTGCATAAAGGTCGATATGGCAAAGCTAGATGTGATAGCATAATGGCCAACGCCATAAAATATTCGATAATTATGTGAATTAATGTATTTAACAAGGTGTTATCTACATTTTACACCCTTTTAAAAGGGAAAAAAAATTATGAATAAGAACATTTTTAAAATTCCTTAAAAGATTTTTCAAATTTTAATAAAAATTTCTCTCCTCCTACTCCGCATGGGAATTTATAAACAAATCTCATTTGGACTAGGGGAGAGATACAATACTCATATGAAGGATCCATTTATCTCTTATAAAAGATCGTCGAAATTAATCAAGGCTTTGTTCTCTTACATAAACTTTAGATCTTCATAATAGCAGGAGTTAAAATTGTTTTGAGAGTTTAAAATTTTTTAAAGGTGACCAAGGACCACAGTCCCAATGATGAGGCTTAGGTTTTACCTTAAAAGAGGTGTTGACTTTCCTCATTAGACAAACAAGATTTAGTGATAGTCAAGACTTTTAGTTTGTACGTACGACGCAACTCTAATCCCGAGTATTCTCATTAGACAGATCAAATATAAAGATCAATAAGACCCGCTTTTGTGATTCTTCTAAAATGTTATACTCCAATGTCATTGGTGTAAGTATCAACAATAATTTTTATATTCTAAGATTAGTTGAGGTGTGTTGCAATCGAAGAAATATTACTTTTTGAAAATTAACTTTAAGAGAAAAGAGATTCCACATAGGTATTACATTGGGTTCAACATCTGTGTTGTCAAACATCATCATTAGCTTTTATACCATCGGAATCATTTGAGATGTGTCATAGCCGAGTTGGAACTATTTTGAAATCTATAACAAACTTCATGAGAGACGAGACTGCTTATTGGAAGTTAAGACAATAGTTTAAAGGTTGTAGCATATTTCATAAATCTCTAATGATTTTAATAAAAAGTGTGTTATTATCATATGTATTCAATGGTTCTATACGGGGCCTTAGAATCAGAAATCTTATTTACATAACTAATAAATGCATTTTCTTTATGTAAATATATAAGCTTGTCTGACATTTAGAATAAAGTTGTTGGAAGTAATGATGTAGTTGGAAGTAATGATGATCATTGATGAAATCTCAATCTTTTGCTTAATAGTGATCAAATATTATAAAGATTTACCCCTCTAATGGGACTTAGCCTTGTAGAATGTTTGTATCTTTTTCTTTTGTGTATAAACATGATTGACATTTTGTTATAGCAGTGATAAGCTTTATCGATGATATAATTTTAACCAAACTTTTTATACGTGCAAAGGAGGGTTATGAAGAATTTTCTTATAAATTATGTTTTCTTAGATTGTTAAATGTTAGTATAAGGTTTCGATCTCAAATCTTAACATGTAATAAAAGACGATGATGATCCGAAATCCATGACATATATTTGACTTATTTTAGATTTTTTTTAGAGAGTTATTCAATAATGTCAACATATGTGACAGAAGTCTAGAGACATCCACAAAAAATATTCGGCCTATCTAAGATTGTTTATCTAAACATTATTCAATAATATTAACCTGTGCGAACGAGATCAAGAGAAATTCACTAAGAATTTTTTTATCTATATGATTTTGTTTGTCATAACATTGCTCGATGATATTAATATGTATGCAAAAGATCAAATAAAATTACCCTTTGATTTATTGTACCTTGATTAGCATAGGGCGAATTCCACTTATATACTTAATCTAAGGTGACAATTGCTGCCTTTTAATCGGTATTGCTCTTTCAAATTCATGATTGTAATCTTGCTCGAGGATTAAAATTCAAGTATGAGATTGTGCATATAATTTAAAATTCACGTGAGATTTTTCTGAAAATTTTCTTATATTTGCTATAAACTCTTAAGGAAAATGGTTGTAAGCAAGAATTTAGGGGTTGTTTAGTTGAAAGAAAAGTGAAAGCAAATTAAAGTAAATGTATTACTTTTTCATTTTTTAGTGTTCGGTTGGATGAAAAGTATATCTAAGATAAAATAAAGTAAATGCGGTGTATTCCATTTTAGTTCATTTTTTAGGATTGAGATAAAGTGATATTAACCAATTGAGGTGCTTCCTTGACCACCCATGGTGGCCACCATCTCCACCACCACCTACTGCCTGCCACCTGCCACCACCATCCATCGGTGGCGCCCGCCGTCGCCTTGTCTCCGAGCACCACCCGTCGCCACTACTGTCGGTCACCGCCACCACTGTCGTCGCCACCATCTCGCCGCGGGCCGTCACTACCCCTCCACTAGCGCCGCCGACCGTCATTGCTAGTTGCCACTGCCTAACCACCCTAGGCACAACCGTTTTATACTTTATATTGCATTCACTTCAAACCAAGAAAAAAAAAAAGTAAAATAATACATTCTTTTTACATTTATCAAAATAATTTCAAAGTATTCTTTTTTACACCGCATTTCTATTACATTGAATTTATTTTTCAAACAATCAAACATCCCCTTAAAAATATTAGATGAAAGGACTTGCTAAATTAAACATGTTTCAACGTTATTAACATGAATATCCCTTTGAGATTGCAAGTGAGGCTGTTCTCCGTTATTGATCTGCTTCCTATAAAATCGATACAACTAATGATACAATGGAAGTGTTTTTTTTTACTAAAATCATGCATAGGAGATTGTCTATTCGATGTTATACTTAATGTGGCCCCCAAGTCTTGACATATTTCTTTTACAGTTGGTGAAGTAGTAGAAGGTATAGGGCATTCGTACTATATTCATGCCCAAGTTGTTGATGAAAAAAGCCTTATGAGGTTATAACAAATGTTGGTGTCAAACTGTTGCTCGCTAAAAATTCATGCTAGCAATGTGAGAGAGAATAATATCTTATCTTTGTACAAAAAATTAGTACACACAAATGAAAGCGGATATGCAGAAGTCAATCGAGTTTTTAAATGAAAAATGTTAAAGGGAACAACCATAGGCCCAATCTAGTTGAAATGGTTATATTAGTGTTTTTTATCAATTACAAATGAAGCACATCCACATAAATAGTAGAAGTGTTGATACAATATAGTATATTTATATTATATATAACATATTATTTGATTGAATTGGGAAAAAATCTTGCGGTATAGGACTTGTCTCTAGATAATTTGTTTGCATATCTGGTTATACTGCTTTGAGGATTTGAGATCAAAGGCCAAGAAGTCCAACACCGTCGCCACTACTGTCGGTCACCGCCACCACCATCGTCGCCACCATCTCGCCGCGGGCCGTCACTACCCCTCCACTAGCGCCGCCGCCGGCCACCAACACCGCCGACCATCATTGCTAGTTGCCACTGCCTAACCACCCTAGGCACAACCGTTTTATACTTTATATTGCATTCACTTCAAACCAAGAAAAAAAAAGTAAAATAATACATTCTTTTTACATTTATCAAAATAATTTTAAAGTATTCTTTTTTACACCGCATTTTTTTTACATTGAATTTATTTTTCAAGCAACCAAACATCCCCTTAAAAATATTAGATGAAAGGACTTGCTTAATTAAACATGTTTCAACGTTATTAACATGAATATCCCTTTGAGATTGCAGGTGAGGTTGTTCTCCGTTATTGATCTGCTTCTTCGTTGTTGATGAAAAGAGCCTTTTGAGGTTATAACAAATGTTGGTGTCAATCTGTTGCTTGCTAAAAGTTCATTCTAGTAATGTGAATAATATCTTATCTTTGTAAAGAAATTAGTACACATATAGATGAAAGGAGATCTGCAAAAGACACTCGAATTTTAAATAGAAAATATTAAAAGGGAATAATCATAGGCCGATCTAGTTGAAATGGCTATATTAGTGTTTGTTATCAGTTACAAATGACGCTCATCCACATAAATAAAAGAAGTGTTGATACAATATAATAAATTTATTTTATTTATATCATATTATATGGTTGAAGTTGAAAAAGCCTTGTGGTACAGGAGTTGTCTCTAGATACTTTGTTTGTTTATTTGGTTATACTCTTTTGAGGATTTCAGATCAGAGATCAAAGTCCAACATAAATCTTGATGTTAATGTCTGAAGTCAAAGATAGTGTTGATGAATTGCATCAATCATGTGTGAGATGGTGTGTGTTGATATTTTGGTGATGACAGATAACAAGGTTAATATGCATCTATGTAGCTAAATGATAATTATGAAAGGACTGTGTCGAAGTATGATAGCCATGCAACAGCGGTGGGGAGATCATAGACAAGCAAATGTGGTTAGAGAACTGTAGTTTGGTTATTGAGTACGGAGGATCATAGTTGGATGATGAAGGTCCAATGGATTGTAATTGAGTGATGGAGATCTGATGATAATAGTCAAATAATAATGGCCGAAGAATCATAGTCAAGCAGCCATGATTATAATATCATAGTTGGACAATGATGACTGAAATGAGTGTAATTGGTGGACTAAGGTTAAATGACTAAAGTCTAAGCGATAGTGATATAATGACTGCACTCCAATTATGATAAATAATAATAATATAAATTGAACTAAATGACAAGATGGTTATGATATAACACTGATTTATTAGAGTTTAAATTATTTAAATATAGAGCTCAAAATGTTTATTTATATTTATTTATTTTTAGTTAATAAATTAAATTCTAGCTTTTTAATCAGCTGAATAAGTGCTGTTTGTAAATAATATATTATTAGTATTAATATTATTTGACAGCTCTATGACTCTATCTGATATTTCCTTCCTATATCATATTACAGGCAAATCTTATAGGCCGCATTAAGCATATCTCCAAGCGATGTAGCCCTCCTTATCCATCCATAAGCCAAAATCCTCGAAAAGAAGGCCCAGTCGACCATGACCTCCGTCCTCCCGGCCTCGCTCCGAACCCCTAATCACTTCCCCATCACTTTACACCCATCCCCAAACCCTAAAAAATCCCCAAAACCCTCAATTTCACGCCTTTCTCCCCGCGCGGCCGCCGACGACGGGAAACCCCCTGCACCACCGCCGGACGCCGGCGGCGTCGAGGACAGCGAATTCGAGAACCGTCTGTCTCAGGTTCGAATCAAGTATCGGAGCGGCACAGGGAAGAAAGCAGAGCAGCGGCGAGCGCGGAAATCCGGGGGCGGCGGCGGCGGAGGTAAGACAGGGAAGGGAATCATGCTACCGCCTGTGCCGCTAAGAGAGGCGGTGAACGTAAGTGGGGAGAAGGTGGAGCTAGGGTTTACACCTTACAGCGAGCGAATTAATGGGCGGATCGCTGGGCTAGGGTTAGCAGCGGTGGTTTTGGTGGAGCTCGGAAGTGGGAAAGGGATCTTGAACTACCATGCGCCACCGGTACTCTTTTTACAGATCTATACCGTCATTGCCCTCACTGCTCTGTTCATAAAGTTTGAGAAGGAGCGGATTAGTGTTTGGCCGGAGAAATCGGAATCTTCCTCGGCCTCTTCCGCCGGCACCGGCGATTGATCTGATTTCTTTTAACTTGTTTTGATTTGCCAAAATCGACGATGTGCTTGACCAGGGTACTGTGCATATCTCCAGCTCTTTTAATGAATTATTTATTATAGAGAAATGCTTCTCGTCCGAGCGATCTGATAATCTGGATCTTCTTAAATGTTAATCAATTAATACTAAAATTTAAGATTAATTGAAAATATATATTAGTTATAGTTTATTAAAGAGTTTCTAATTAAATGTTTATCATTAGCTTCTGATTTTATTTTTGGAATTTGATCTAAATTTTTTATTTATGAGTTAGATTGCAAATATGTTGTTTGGCTGATCATTTGTGCCGATTGGTTTTGGCTCGGTTTAATAAATGACTTATTAGTCAAGTTCAATGAGCTAACGACTCAAGTTTGAGCTAGGTCTGATTTGGTTCATTAGCTCACAACCTGCCTCATTTAAAAAATATTTATATAAAATGCTCTTAAATATAATAATATTTAGAATTTGAAGTATAAAATTGTTAGGAGTGTTATGCTTGAAAAAAAATCTATAATTTCTTTTAACCTAAAGGTAGTGAGCAATTGAGCTTTGATGTGAATAATAAGTAGAAAGAATATCCTCGTCGGGAGAAATAATTCTGTGCGGACACTAGATTGTTCGGAAATGAATGAGAGTGCATCATGTACCCGATACACAATTGTACACAACACTGGTACACAACAAAAAAGTGACGTGGTGTACCTCAATTGTCTTCGGACATTGTCCGGTGTCCGCACAGAATAATTAATCCATCGTAAGATAGTTAACATGAGATAAAACTTGAGCAAATGTGCATCTCATATGAAGAAGTTTTCATTGAAAATATATTTGTTAAAAGCACTAAAAGACATAGACCTATAAAAATAGAAATGAGATTCCTTATGTGCATTGTAAAGTATAGATTTTATTTATTTAGTTTTTACATTTAGGTCAAATAAGACAATTAACACATACATTATATATGCAAGATTAGAATTCAAAACTTATTGATTGGTAGTCAAAGATCTCAATCAATAGAACAAGATGAGTTGCGTAAACATAGAATTTTAATTAGTAGCAATCAGAGCCCTGCATAGGGTACCCATACCCAAACCCACTCATACCCAATGGGTATGGGTGGGTATGAGTACTCTCATGACCTTGTGGGTGGGTATGGGTGGATACTTAACATCGGGGGATAAATCGATTTACATTGTTAATCATCGTATATCTTATATTACTGCAATCCTCACTACCTAAGATGCAACATTCTGCAACTACATTAAATTATGATATGCATCTTAAAAGTTTGCAATAAGAGCAAAGGGAAACAAGCCTCAAGGCCATCAATCTATGGCATACTGCATTCAAAAAGCATAGAAAGTGGTTGGGTATGACATCCCGAAAGTCACCATGGGTGGGCGAAGCTCGTCCTAATAAAGCATGGGTACCCATTCAGGACCCCATGTAGGACTTTGGTAGCACTGCCATAAAATGCCAAGGCATCTCTAGTTTTAAGTACATTGATGAGAATCTTCCAAGCAAATATAGACTATTTAAAATCATAGTCTTTGAGTCAAATAATTTTTTCCCACTCATTTTTGGTCCATGAGAGTATAGAAGATCATAAACTTTTCTATTGGAGATGAAACTTTTATCAATCCAAGTACAATTATTGATAGAAAAGTCTCAATCATGGATGTTCAAAATTTCTTGAATGCAAGAAGCATTTTCATTATGTGATGAGGCTGGCAAACACCAAGAACCAGCAATAATGAAATCCTGAACTCTGGCTTTTGGATTGCAATCAAACCAGCAATGATTGTTATAAGAAGGGGGTTTTATAATTATACTTGATATTCAAAGAGAGCCATATGCATTGAAGCACCAAGAAGAAAGCAAAGAATCAATATTATGAAGTCTCCATGTCATTTTAAATTTGCAGACAAGCCCAAAACTCCCTGCTCAATGGGCATTATAGTTTTTCTTCAAGAGATGGTGTAAATTTGTTATCAGACCCATTGTTAGGAAGGAAGTTGTTAATTCAGCTTGAAAATTTTCTCCTTAGACATTTAGGGATGGTAACATATCAGAACAAGTAATGTAGATGATTTTAAGTAGTAGATCTTACCAGTTGAAACCTTCCAGCAAAGGAAAAGAAGCTTTGCTTCAAACCACTAAGGTTTTGTTTGGGGCGGCTTTTTTACTGTTTTTTAAAACAACTTTTTAGTGTATTTTATACTAGAAAGCTATTTTAAGAAGCAATAAGAAAGCTGTTCAAAACGAAACCTAAGTCAATTATGAAGTTTAGTTGTGATTTAGGCTTCGTTTGAGAAAATTTTTTGTTGCTTTATAAAAGAAATTTTTAGTACAAAAATTTCTAATTTAAAAAATATACGTAATAAAAAGTTGCTTTAGAAAACACGTAGGAAATTGTCACAAACGAAATCTTAAAATAATCTCTAACTTTAAGTAAGGAAGAGGAAATTGTAGTACAAGCAGCCCCAAGTAAGCGAGCTAAAGCCAAGACTCAAAAAAACCACAACTACTTTTTAATCTATATATCAACTGTCTTAGAAAAGCAAACTACATATTTGTCAATATTAATGCAAAGACTAGTGGCATTTTTGAAAATATATATTGATATATTATCTAAAAATTATCTTGATCGGCACGAATATCAAGGCAAAATCCGACCCGAAAACTTCAAAAATTAATTCATGGAGCATCCGAACTCCAATTTCAGCGAGCTTACAGTCAAACTGAGCGTCTCGGAAATACGAACCCAACGACACCAAATTCAACTCAATCCGAGTCCAAATGAGCCCAAATCAAGGACCCGAAGCGCTGTTGGAAGGTTCAAACCGCAATTTGAGTTACCCTCCGATTTTAACGAGCTTATACTCGAATCGCGCGGCTCGACGAGTCGAATCCAACGAGCCCAAGATCACCAAATTCCGACATCATTAAGGCCTCCAAATGTCCAACGAACGGTGCACGATCAAAGGGTTCAATATCGGTCGTCCATTCAAACCACTCCCTATTCGCCCATGATCTCACACTTATTTACGATCTATGCCACTCCAGAAAAACTATAAATAGAGCCCTCATTCTACACAAAGGGGATTCAAGTGAAGAGAGAGAAGAAGAAGAGAAGAAGGGAGAGAAGGAAGAAGCTCCTCCTCGACCACCGCCGGAGCTCTTCCCGCCGCCTGAAGACGCCGGAACTCGGTTGAATTTTCGGGAAACGCCGGAAATTTGCAGAACTTTGTAACTTTGTGAGAAGTTGATTGTAAACTGATCGTCTTGATTTATAAGACGGATCAACCTTTGTACTTCATACAAACACTAGTAGAACTTTACAACTTGGCGAGCCCCCGTGGTTTTTTCCCTTTTTGGGTTTTCCACGTAATTAAAACTCTGGTGTTCATTTCTTTTTTTTGTTTGTGTGCTGAATATTCGTGCAACGCTAAGACGAATATTTTCTAACTCTACTGCCGCGTATATTCTAGCACGCAACATATATAATATAATTTAGGTAGAATATAGTGTTGTGATTCATTTTATCAAAAACTTAAATATTATTAGCATAGGTAAAATGAGATATAAGATTGTTATTACAAATAATGCCATTATATTAAAATAGGCACAATGAGCATCTATTAATCTAGAAAAAACATCCAAAATAAATGTGAACGGGAGACCTACAGCAAACCAAAGTGAGCAGATAAAAAATCTTTTAACTTTTCATTAATCACAAATGAGAAATGAATATTCGAGGTACATGCAATAATCTAGTTAATGAAGATGAAATCTATGCCTCTTAATTTGTCATAAAGGAATTAATAGTTCTTACTATCATAGGTTTTCTTGAGATTAATCGGAGGATTTTATCAAGTTCGGCCCATATGTCTTGAAGGATGGGTCATTACTCTCATGTTTTTTATTTTCTATATTTTTTGTCAGAAGTCTACTAAATTTTTTTTTTTTTGGGACATTTAGGCCATTTAAAGCAAACACACACACACAACGCATACACAAAGACTCGAACCCAAGACCTCTTAGTTTGAAGCATAAGCTCTCAACCAACAGGCCAAGATGAGCTGTGTACTAAATTTTTTATCGGGAGATGTTGAAGTTGAGAAGTACTCATAAAAAGCTTTTAGGAGTTCCCAAGAGTTGAGTGAATCCAAGTTTGGGAAGATTGTTGTGGAGCAATAACAATGCTAGCTTGACACTTATAATCCATGATTTGATGTCAAACTTAGTATCACCTCCATACAATTTAATTTGATAATTAGAATCATAGTGTTCTACATTTCTTGCTTAGCTTTTAAAACTAACATTTCATTCTTATATGAGTGATTTGTGATAGGGAAGGATATTTGACGAGTTGATTAAAATTTGTAGAATTTTCGTTATATAAGTGATTGTGATTAATATTTAAGAGTTTAGACATAGAGAGCAGAGAGCTTCTATTCTTGACAGATTGGTGAAGTTGGCGAGCTAGAGAGAGATATACAAAGAAACATCATTTTTTCTTCTTCTTTTATTTTTATCTTGTTTCATCATTAATAAAACTTAAGTGTTTATAACTCAATAAAATAAGAATTCATATTAACAATCTCACATGTGTTTGTCTGCTCAACATATTAAATGGACATTTTAGTGTCTTACTCGTGGTTAAAAAAACTCACTAATATTAGATTATCGTTCTATTAATTTTGGATGCTTACCATGGCTACACTTCCTCCATCTTCCTCGTCATTCTATCTTATCACTCATCCATCAACATCCCACAAAAATATATATATAGAAATACAAAAATATTTCCTAAAGATGATGGTGCATGTCTGGTGTGAACCCATACCTTCTCATCATTGAGCCTCAGTACCCATCTTCAGAAATCCATGCTTCTCTCAAATACATTCACTAGCCTCTACATATCCTCACACACATTTTCATCCCAATTCATCTCTTCATGACCTCTTGACCTCACTCCATTTCCCTCTTCTTCGTGCCTACGCTTTCCATAGAATAATTCTCTCTCCAAGGATTACTCTTGACCAACCTTGAAAATTCACCTTCTATTAGCTAAATCACCCCTCATTCATCTT